CAGTTCCAATAATTAACACATTGCATACTGTCTTCCTAGTGGTTATTTGTTGTACAAGATGCAGACATGATATCCTATTTATTTATTTATTTATTTATTTTTACTTTAATGGTAGAACTGAGCTAGGGCTGGGCCCCAATGATATCCTATTTATAAACACTATTAGAACAAATCCCTTTATTCACTGAATTAAGAGAATGTAGCTATATATCTATCCTAACCATTTTGAATACACAGATACAAAATGGTCATTCATCTGTATCCCCTTTTTTGTTTATATCCGTCATTTAAATATTATAGGTGTGTGAAGGGGCCGGCGGTATAGCTCAGCGGACTAAGCGCTTGCTTAGATAAGCGCAGGAGCCAGGGTTCAATACCTGGCTCCGCCTGCCGCGCCGGCCCCACCTTCGGGTGCGCTGAGCCGGCGATGGAGTCCGGGCGCGGTGGCGCGCGCCTGTAATCCCAGCACTTGGGAGGCAGAAATCAGGAGGATCACTACTAATGTGGGCTATGTAGTGAGACCCTGAGCAAAAAAAAAAGAAAAAAAAAATCAAAAAAAAAAAAAAGGAGCTGGTGAGATGGCTCAGTGGTCTAAAGCACCTACTTGGAACAAGCTTGGGAAAGCACAGGGACCACGGTTCGATCCCCCAGCACCACATGCCAGCCAGCCCCACCCCCTGGTGGACTGAGCTGGCCACACACACACACACACACACAATAAATAAATAAATAAATAAATGTTTAAAAAAAAATATTATAGGTGTGTGAACTCAGCAAAATATTCCAAAAGAGTCCAGTAGTCCATAATGAAGCTGGTTCTATTGCCAGATTCTTTTTTAAACATGTCTTAACTTCCATATGAACAAATCATCCAACCTGTTTTTCATAAAATTAAACTTTTATTAAGTTCAAATTTGTCTCTTGCAATGATGTGATAAGTTGCCAAATAACTGAGTTATTTTAAAATGCTTTGTTCATATTCTTGTTTTATAATTAAAATATACATTCAGTGAAAAAAAAAAAAAAAAGGAATTGGGGCTTGGGCGATAGCTCAGTGGTCTAAGCACCTGCCTGGCAAGCACAAGGACCCAGGTCCCACCCCTGGTACCACGTGCCGTGCTGCCCCATGCCACGTGGGCCCCGGAAACAGCTGTGGTGGCGCACACCTGCAATCCCAGCTCTGGGGAGCCTAAGACAAGAGGACCAGTAGGAGTGTGAACTGCATAGCAAGACCCTGTGCCAAATCAATAAATCAATTCTTTTTAAAAAATAGTAGGAATTGTGTGGGGGACAGACAAGGGCAAGCAAGATGGGTCACACCACCTGGCGTCACATGAGAACCTTCAAGTATATTATCCAAACAAGTAAGAGTATTAGGAGCTTGGGCTCCATTGGCTAGTATCTCCAAATCTTTTAAGAGCAAAAAGTTAAAAGCTTTTCTCATCTCACTATACTTTGGCTTTTTTTGTGGGTGGGGAAGGAGGAGAGGTGGTTACTGAGCTGACTCTTTGGCCTCGGGGAGGCCGGGACTGCAGGGAGCACAGCTCCCCAAGGCAGAATCTTCCAAACTGGGTGTGAGGAACAAAGGAAGCTGAGTGTGTGAATAAACTGGAGAAGTTTTGCATTTCTTTGTGAGTCTCTTGCAAAAGTGAATTTATTTGATTATCAGTACTTTTTGTTGTTGCTGTTGTCTTTCTGAGACAGGGTCTCACTATGCCGTTCAGGCTGGCCTTCAGCTCACTTTGTAGCCCAGGCTGATCTTGAACTCACAATGACCCTCCTGCCTCAGCCTCTCGAGTGCTAGGATTATAGATGTGCACCGCACAACACCTGGCTATTTTTTTAAATTTTTTCAACATGCTTCATTTTCTCCAGCGGCCCATTTGGAGGCACATTACTGTGGTGATCTGATGCTTAGGTTATGGTTCCATCAGAGCCCTTTTCTCTTTCAGTTACCTTATTCACAGGCATTTTTTAAAATTTATTTATTTATTTGTGTGTGTGTGTGGCCAGCTCAGCCCACCAGGGGGCGGGGCTGGCTGGCGTGTGGTGCTGGGGATTGAACCGCGGTCCCTGTGCTTTGCTAAGCTTGTTCTAAGTAGGTGCTTTAGACCACTGAGCCATCTCACCCGCCCATCACAGGCATTTTGTTTGCACATACAGAGCGTTTTGTAACGGTAACCTGCTGCAAGCAGGAGGGCCACCTTCACGAGGTGACACGTGGCTACAGTTCGTGGGTGGATTTTCTTATTTTGGGTTTTAGCTAGAGGAAAGCTCTCACTTGGGGCTGGAGAGATGGCTCAGTAGGATAAGCTCTTGCCTGGCAAATGCAAGGGCCTCAGTTCAATCCCCAGTTCTGCAAAAAAACAAAAGCTCTCACTTATTTTATCCCAAACTGTGAGCTCCAGGGTATGTCTTGGGGGGGCGGGGAGGTCAGAATGTAGCTACCTCACAGAGTAATCTAAAAACTGGTTTAGATGCACATTAATGTGGGCATCATTTAACATCACTTAGCATCATCTCCATAACATTGAGGCTAATCAACAAACTAAATTCTTGCTCTCCTGCAGCTAAAGATTGAGCTTGCCCCACCGTTACCCTTAAAGAAGAGACTCCTGTTTGCTACTTGTGTCCAAGCACTATGATTACTCAAACGCTCCACTTACCTCTAAATTGGTCTCCAAAGGTCCAGTGGGTTGCTAGCCCCTGATTCTGGACAGTGGGTGCTGTGCCGAGAAGGTCGTGTGTTCCAGCCACGCTGAGCCCCAAATATAGAGACCCTTCCTGGGATGGAGACGATCGCTCCGCTGTCAGGGAGACTCACCCAGGCGGTCCTCCACAGGCAAACAGAATCGCTTACATTCTCTTGAAAAGCTCATAGTCTGTGTCTCAAACACATAAAGGGGAACTATGCCCCCACTGCCTCAGTGCCTACTGTCTATCAGGCTCCTTTAAACCTGTGAGGTGCGCCCTGAGAGGGCCACAGAAACCAGGTGTGGTAGCGCAGCCTGTAATCTCAGCACTGGGAGAGCTGAGACAGGACGATCACCACGAATCCAAGCTGCATAGTGAGACCCTGTTTAAAAAAAAAAAAAAAAAAAAAAAAAAAATAGAAGGCATTTTAAAAAATCAGATCTGGGCATAAAAGTCAGAGATTCTAAAAAAGGAACTCCCGGGGCCAAGGAGACGGCTCAGTAGAGTAAGGGCTTCCCTGGCAAGCGCAAGGGCCTGAGTTCAATCCCTGGTTCCGCAAAAAAAAAAAAAGACTTAAAAAAAATAAAAATAAAAAAATAAAAAATAAATAAAAATAAAAAAGGAACTCGCAAGGCGGACCAAATAGCTCCGCGGATTAAAGCGCCCGCAAGCAGGCACAGGGGCCTGCGGTTGGATCCCTGCGGCTGTGCCGGCCCCGCCCCCAGGGCACGCTGAGCCGGAGCACAACGGAGACTGGGCGTGCTGGCACTCGCCGCCAGTGATCCCAGCTCTTGGGAGGCTGTAAACAGGCAGATCACTACGAGTCCGATCTAGTAGTGAGACCCTGAACACTCTGTAAGCCCTTCCCTAAAATACTAAAATAAAATAAAAGAGGAACTCGGACAGCCAAGACTCCTCGGACACTGCCCCCACCCCTAGAGTTTGGGGATTGAGTTGAGGTCAGGAATGAGCATTTTATGGGTGGCCAACCGAGGAGGAATGTCTCCAGGGGCCAGTCATTTATGGCACGACTTTCATTTGCAAAAGAGCTCATCAAGTAATTCCCGCACTCAGGTGGCTCATGCTTTCCCGGTGGAGAGCAGGTACTGAACACGTGCAGCAAGCAGCAGCGGCGCTGAGATGCAGGGGCAAGCGCTAGCTCACGGAGGAGGGAGTAAGTGGGAGGAAGCCTCTGCGTCCTCCCAGGGACTTGGAGCGTGGAAAGCAGGGTACAGCACCAGGGTGCAAGGGAGGCGGTCCTAGGCGGTGATGGGGAAACTGGAAGAGTGCGGCCGAGTTGGGGGTGACAGAATTGAGGAGAGGTTTTGTTTAGGGCGGTGGAACTTTTCTGGAGACCAGGGATGGCCCGGGAAGAGGTAGGGTACAGATGAAAGACAATGCCATCAGGCTAAGAGCCAGAATCGAAGAATTAAAAGGTTTAAGCCCAGGACGGACCAGCCGAAGTGAAGTGGGCTTGCTCCTCAATGGCACAAGCGAAGGCCTTTATCACCAGAATCACCGGGAGGCTGGATGAAAGGGTTGGAACGCTAAAAGGCATTCTGCTTGCTTTGTGGAAAGGGCAGTCTCAACCAGGAGGATCAGGGTGGATACTGGGTCAGGAAGGACTTGAAAAGTTTGCAAGTGTGCTAAGGATGCACGCGTGGGCAGCAGCCAGCAAAACCTCAGGCTGGGGATATGGCTAAGGGGCATAGGAGCCTGCCTCGCGAGCTCAAGGTCTTGAGTTCGAAACCTATTACCAAAAAAAAAAAAAAAAAAAAAAAAACCCACAAAAACAAAAAGCTCAGGCAGGGCAGGCGGGCCTCACCCCTGAAAGTGCCGCCGTCACACTCTGGGGCCCACTCCGCACGGCTTGGCGGGAGCCGCCCCACGGCAGGACGCAGGTGGCCGCGAGGCCGGGCAGGCGGGCGAGCGGGGCTCGGGGACGCGAGTGCGCCGCCTGCCGCGTAGGGGAGGGCAGCCGGGCGAGCAGCAGCCGCCGCGGCACTTGGCACGCACGCGCAGACGGGCCGCGGGCCCCAGAGGCACAGAGGAGGGGGAGCGAGAAAGAGGGGGTGTGGAACGTATTTCCGCTCTGGCGGACAAATAATCCTGGCCAAAGGGGAGGCACGGCTGTCCGGCCCTTTAACCGCGTGGGGGTGCGCGTGAAGGGAGGGGGGTCGGGCAGGGGGGGATCCTGCTCCTTTAATTCCCTCCCCTCTTCCTCCTCCTGACTCCTCGCGACGCGGCCGAGCGCGGGGCCTGGAACACACGGCACGAGCTGCCCCCGCCCCTCCCCCTGACGCCCACGCGGAGCCGGCCCCGCGCGCGCGCCCCGTGCACCCCCGCGCCTGCGCGCTGCCCAGGCCCAGCCCGTGTGTGGGGGGCGCTGCCGGCCCTGGGGGGGTGGGGAAAGAGGGGGGGAAACAGCGCGCGGAACCCGGCCAGGTGAGAGGCGCGTGCACTCAGGGCCGTGGGGCTGGGGGGGCGTGCCGCGGAGCTCCGGCGTGGGAGGGGGCGTGCACGGCGCGCGCAGGCGGCCGGGGGAGGGCTCGGAAGGGGGTTCGGAAGACCCGGGAGCGGGCGAAGGGGCGGGGTGAGCGCCTGCAGCCCGGGCCACCCCAATCCACAGGTCCAGGTCGCTGCCCCCCCTTTCTTGTCCTTCCCCGGGGCGCGCGGGCTTTCTCCGCGGCGGGCGCTGGACTGGGGGTGTGGACGCCGCTGCCCCGCCCCCGGGAACCACGCCTCCCTCCTCGCAGGGACTGCGCCTCCCCCGGTGGGGGAAACTGAGGAAGAAGCGTGAGGACTTATGCTGGGGGAGCCGGGCAAGAATGGGGGCGAAGGGCCTGGAGTCTCGGCTCTCGAGAGCCCGAGACCTTTGTCTCTGACCGGCTTCCTTCCCAACCAGGGTTGCCCGCTCCCGCCACAATGGCCTCGGGGGTGGAAGTCCTGCGCTTCCAGCTGCCCGGCCACGAGGCCGCCACGCTGCGCAACATGAACCAGCTCCGCGCGGAGGAGCGCTTCTGCGACGTGACCATCGTGGCCGACAGCCTCAAGTTCCGTGGCCACAAGGTCATCTTGGCCGCCTGCTCCCCGTTCCTGCGGGACCAGTTCTTGCTGAACCCCAGCTCCGAGCTGCAGGTCTCCCTGATGCACAGTGCTCGCATCGTGGCCGACCTGCTCCTCTCCTGCTACACGGGCGCCCTGGAGTTCGCCGTCAGGGACATCGTCAACTACCTGACGGCCGCCTCCTACCTGCAGATGGAGCACGTGGTGGAGAAGTGCCGAAACGCCCTCAGCCAGTTCATTGAGCCCAAGATAGGCCTCAAGGAGGATGCGGTCGGCGAGGCTAGCCTCGCGAGCAGCGCCAGCGCCACCAAACCCCTCCTCCCGCCCGCTAGGACCCCGAAGCCGGCCCCCAAGCCCCCGCCCCCTCCTCCTCTACCCCCTCCGCTCCTGCGGCCAGTGAAGCTAGAGTTCCCCCTGGACGAGGACCTGGAGCTGAAAGCGGAGGAGGAGGATGAGGATGAGGATGAGGATGTGTCTGACATCTGCATTGTCAAGGTGGAGTCGGCCCTCGAGGTGGCGCACCGGCTCAAACCCCCCGGAGGCCTGGGAGGGGGTCTGGGTATCACGGGCTCCGTGAGTGGCCACCTGGGGGAGCTGGCCCAGAGCAGCGTGGCCCCCAGCACCGTGGCCCCACCGCAGGGTGTGGTGAAGGCCTGCTATAGCCTGTCTGAGGATGCAGAAGGGGAGGGCCTGCTGCTGATCCCTGGGGGCCGAGCCAGTGTGGGGGCCACCTCGGGCCTCGTGGAAGCAGCTGCGGTGGCCATGGCTGCCCGGGGGGCGGGGGGCAGCCTGGGGGCAGGGGGTGGCCGGGGGCCCCTGCCTGGGGGCTTCTCCAGCGGAAACCCCTTGAAGAACATCAAGTGCACCAAGTGCCCGGAAGTGTTCCAGGGTGTGGAGAAGCTGGTCTTCCACATGCGCGCGCAGCACTTCATCTTCATGTGCCCGCGCTGCGGCAAGCAGTTCAACCACAGTAGCAACCTCAACCGCCACATGAACGTGCACCGCGGCGTCAAGTCGCACTCCTGTGGCATCTGCGGCAAGTGCTTCACGCAAAAGTCCACGCTGCACGACCACCTCAACCTGCACTCGGGGGCGCGGCCCTACCGCTGCTCCTACTGCGATGTGCGCTTTGCCCACAAGCCGGCCATCAGGCGGCACCTCAAAGAGCAGCATGGCAAGACCACGGCAGAGAACGTGCTGGAGGCTAGCGTGGCCGAGATCAACGTCCTCATCCGCTAGCTGGGGGCAGGCGTGGCGGCCGGGGTCGTGTGGGGCTGGAGAGGCTCCTGGGCCCCTGAGGATCGAGGATCGGGTGGGCGGGCAGACGCGTCCAGGGGGAGGGAGGGAGGGCGAAGATTACTTGGAGAAAAGATCCTGCTTCTCAGAGAAAGGCTGGAGCTGGGGACAAGGTTCTTTTACAAACCCAAGGAAATGTGGGGCCCCAGAGTGATTTTCATAGAGATGCATGGATGTGGAGGGAGGGGAAAAGGTTGCATAGAATGAAGAGGAGGGAAGATTGGAAAATGGGTTTTTTCCTGGCTAAGGCTGCCAGGAGAAGGAAAGTTCTGACATTTCTTGAGGTGGGGGTGGGTGGGTGTCGGGAGGGAACTGGGCAGGAGGCAGCTGACATGCTCCTGGTTAGAGTAGATCCTTAGGAGAGGGCGCGGTAGGGGACACAATTACTGAATCCCAGATGAGGAAGAGGGAGACAGTTCTTGCATGCCGGGGGAAATGGGATTGTGGGTAGGTGGCTCACCAAAACTGGAGCACAAAGTTAAGGTGCCAGGTAAGAGAACATGGGGTGAGCCTCCTGGGTAGACACTAGGAAGAGGGGGTATAATAGCAAGAACAATGAATAGTGACGGGGCTGGGGGCAGGGGCACTTAGAAAAAGGACACAAGGAGGGCAGTTAGTGGGCGGGAGACGAGTAGAGACATACAGTATTTTTTAAGAAAACAAAACGTATTTTTTAGGATTTTTTCTGGAGTTTGGGATTTTAGTTTTTCTGCTTTGTTTTCCACAGAATAAAAAATTAATTTTTTTTCTTTATACTCTGGCAACTGCGTGTATATATATATACATATATATACATATATGACTGTCCCACCCTAGATGGTATCTCCCTCTTGCTGTGCCCAAATTACCCAGAGGTCATAGCTCACGCAGGTCCTGACCCCAAAGGAGCCACCTCCAGACAGGTTAGGGAAGGTGACAAGAGAGCTCTTCGGGCTAGGGACAACTCTCCACCGGTGTGCAGTCTCAGCACCTACCTAGGGACAGCACAGCACATGTGATTGACAGCCATCGTGATACACATCTTGCAGGGTTTGATGTGAGGGACAGGCAACAGGTGGCCAGGGTGTCCACTGATAGTACAAACAGATCTGTTCTGGCATATTCGGAGACCTGCAAACTTGCATTAGGTTTTGGGGGGAAAGACTACAATTCCCAGAAAGCTCTGGAAAGTTCCTAACTAGCGAACTACAGTTCCCAGAAGGCCTTGAAATGGCCTGAAGTGCCCCTTACCCTAAGCCTGCCCATGTCAAATACTGCGTGAGGGACCGTACAGATGTTTCTACACTGTGAAGGAGACAGAGTACAGAGGGGCAGCTTCCGTGAATTCCACTTTTAGGGCTGCACATCCTGGTGTCTTCCTTCCAACGGTCGGCGGGGCTGTTACCCACGGACTGCCTGGCTGCTGATGAAGGGTTTATCCAAAAGCCAACACTTACTACAGTGTCACCAAAAAAACGTCACTCGAGCTGCCAGGAGTATCTGGATCTCTAGCGCTTGTGGCAGAAACAAAAGACATTTAGTCCCAGGTTTTCAAAAGGGATCGCTGCTGGGTGGGGACTGATGCGGCATGCTAGAGTAAAGGTGTCCCCGTGCCCCCTTCCTGCTCAAAATAGAGGCGAGGCCAGAACCAAGGTCGAGCCTTCTTATCTGAGGATCGAGAAACTGGAAAGACAGTGCCAGACAAACGCAGCAGCTAAGGACCAAGGGGCTTGGGCGCTGTGTTTGTCCTCTCGACCCAGATGGGAAAACAGGGGCCACCCCTGGATCCGGGCAGGCCTGGCGCTTGGTTCCCTGCAGGGCCGAGACTCCGAAGGACAGGAACTCTCCCCCGAGAATCCCAACCGGTTCCAGCGCCGCTCTCTGGGAAAATGGTCCGAATGCGCGCGACGGCCCCTTTAAGGCCCCTCCTCGCCCGCCCGGCTCGCCCACGTGACCCGGGGCGGCCGCGCGCCGGCTCAGCCCCCC